GGGGGGGGGGGGTGACTGGGGTCAAGTAGGGTCTCTGAAATACCTCCCAGGATCTCTGTCTCCATCTCAGCCTCACCACTGTCTGCATCCTGCATGTTTTTCAATAACGGTTTCTCCTGCACATCTGGAAATACGACGTGGATTTGGACGCTTTAAGAAACAGCAAACTGACAGAAAACGGCAGCAAAAGAGTGGAACCGGTGCAGGAGTTTAATGGAAATAGTCATACTGCGACCAAAAGAACCAGAGGGGGAGAAAAACAGCGAATAAAACAACACAGAAATGAAGATAAAGTCTATGTTTTCACCTCGTGAAATCAGCCTGAAGCTCAGATTTTCACAGTTTTATGTCAAAGAATCTGAAGCAAAACTTCTAAATGTGAAATCTTAACAATGTAAAACACAAAAGAGGTTTCCAATAAGCTTCAAAATTGAAATTAAGGCTGAGTTTGATCATGAAAAAGAAGTTTGTGTCTCCATCCTGACCATTGTCTCAGAAAATGCTAGCTAATCATGCTAAACAACACCTTCCATGTCCACTTTTTTTAGCTACTAGCCTCCTGTTTACAGCTGGAATTAGCATACTTTGGCATCCATATTTGCCTGAAACAAGAATAAAGAGTTTCAAAGTGAGACTGAGAGCACAGTTTGGACTGAGGGTTGGTTTCCTGCTATCTAAAGGACATTTTGTTTGTGCTTTCAAAGCATCGATTAAAATGCAAATGATACGAGGAGTATTGTGAACGCTTCATTACGTGTGGAGAATCATGGCGGAAAGGAGCCGTGTTCGCTCCACATCCTCAGAAAAAAAGCTAACCTCAGTTTTTACCACCTCAGTGGAGCCGCTGTGAGATGAAATATGCATGCTGGTGATTACATATTTCATACGGCGGTGCATCTGAGGAACCGCTGTGGAAAGAATCAGCACACCGACTGCTTACGGGTAGTAACAACCAGAGAATAGAAAATGAGACGTGTGCGTTGTAAAGAGAGCTGAAAATGGACCTGTTAGAGCAGCTAAATGCTAAATAGATGCTAAAAAAGGAGCCTCTTTGTCCACGAACCTGTGCATGTGATCACACTCCAAATACAAATGTCAGACACACACAAAAAACGTAGCGTATAACAATGTCTTGATATAAAGTAAAATGATAAAATTAAGCTAATTTCATGTCAATTGTGTGATTGATTAGCCTGCAAACCTGATTTTTCTTTTCCCCCCAAACTTAGCCAGTTCCAGCTTTAGTTTTGACCCCGAACACGTTAGGATTCTTAGACTTCTTAGAGTTTGTCCACCTTATTTAAGAATTACATCTAGATAATTGTTTTCCTGTTTCTCTTTATTTTTCTTTATTATGTATGTTTTTCTACTACTACTACAACTTTCAGCCTATTTCAACAAATAAGGTATCAAAATGTTCAGCTATCTCAGGACTATAGCGCTATGACTTTTGGAGTTCAAATCTTTTAAACTTTTTAAGATATTCAACCTTTTATGCCTTATTCCTCTCATTGAAATGAGTGCACACCTTCACCCAGTGGTATAGCCCAGTGGTATAGCCCAGTGGTATAGCCCAGTGGTATAGCCCAGTGGTATAGCCCAGTGGTACAGCATATGACTACAGATCCAGAAGTTGCCAGTTCAAATCCCATTCAAATCTTCTTGTACCTTATCTATAATTTTGTGGCCTTTTACTCTTTACTGTTCTTCTAATCCTTTTACCTTTTATTCTTCCACTCATTAGTTTTCACCTCTTTAAAATGATTCCTCCCTTCAGCGTTTTTTCTTCCACTCTATGTCTTTTTCAGCTTTTCTTTGGCTTCTTCTCCTCCTTCTTCCTCCATTCACCACATTCCCACAGCTGGAACAGCCATATTCTATTTGCTGATTTCTTTCCTCCTGAGTGCTTTATAGCACAGATTCGCTCAGCTCTTTTCTGAGATGCTAACACTTGATAAATTAAAGATTGCGCACGTTTCATGTTTAAAACGACGATGACACCGTGCCACATGTCGTTTCTTTTAGCCTGTTTTCTTTACTCAGAGATGCTGGGTTCTGTCACGGTGGTGCCCTGGTTGAGGGGTTTTTGTCTCGTCTTTTTCTAGTCTCGTCATTTCCTGTTTTATTTTGAAGAATAACCCTCATCTCGTTTCAGGTCACTTGCACTTCCTGTTGTGTCACCAGTCTGAGCGTCTCCCTGATTACCTATTGTCTGCACCTGGGCATCCCTTCCCTCTCGTGGTCAAATAGTCCTCGTCTCCCCTTGTCCCGTGCCAGTGTGTTTCGTTCCCAGCCACAGAGCCAGTCTTGTCCTTAGTCCTTGTCATAGTACCCGTCACAGTTCCCGTACCTTGCCTTTGAGCCCCCTTCGTTTTTGCCTCTTTAACGAGTGCCCTTTTTGTTCCTCCTAGACGTCACATTCCTAGTGAGTATTTTGGTTGTTACTTTGTTCCCGTCTTGCCTCCTTGTGAGAGATTTACTTTGTTACTTTTACAGCTTTGTTTTGTAACTTTTCCTCAGCCTCGGTTCGAGAGCCATTTCTGTTTTGTACTTTGTCCTCCGTTTCTGGAGCGATTTGTTTTGTCCACTCCTTTTGAGTGCGCCTTTCGTTAATAAATTTTGGATTTTTGAATCAACTCTGCGCCTGAGTCCTCGTGAGTCCACGAACGTGTCAGGTTCTGCTTTTAGACCGCGGGGGTTTGCTCACCTTTGCCCTGGATGAAGTCCAGTTGGAGAATGGTCTGCAGAAGAGAGTCGGTGCTAACGCTGAGGTCGAAGTCGGCGCCCACCTTCGGCTCCAGGGCGCCTTTCACCCACTGGTCCTGAGACGAAGTCACCCGCTTGATCAGGGCGTCCGAGATCTGCCCAGAGAAATCCACACGAATCCCATTAGAGCGAACATCTATTTATTTACGTTGTTTATGATCATTAACGTCTAGATGTCTAGATCAGATAAAGTCTAGATGTGTTTCAGTTATTGGTGTGAAACTGTGGAATGAATTGAATGATGTATTTAAGTTATGTCCTTTCTTGGTGAACTTTAAAAGAGCTTTAAAATGTAAAATGATCAAATCTTACGCTGTTATGTAGATCTATATATGTACTATGTACTTGAATCTGAATTTGAAGAAATCCTGGTAGGTTGTAAGGTAAAAAATAGGGTAGGCAAGAATAAGCTTTGCTTCGGCCTATTCCTTTTTTGGTAAACTGTGGGTTTGTCTATTGTTCTTTTTTTTTTCTTTTGTTGTTTCTTGTGTTTAATGTGGACAATTTACCAAAATAAAGTGATTGATTGATTGATTGATTGATTGATTGATTGATTGATTGATTGATTGATTGAACGTGACGTTAGCCTTGAACTGCTAGCTGCGGCTAACGGCTAATAATAACACTCCGACATTAATCAAGTCTGCAGGAAGCCAAGGATGGATATCCAACTCCCCCACATCCAAGTCGGCCATTTTGATTAGGTCACCAATAGGAAGATCCCAGGCAAGAAAATCCTAATCCTGCTTCATGGCAATATAAAGATTCATTTAGAAATAGTTAAATGAATCTTGCAAACACTGAATTAAACTCTATCCATAATATTATGTTAAAATAGTGGATGTTAAATAGGTTTGTACAATAAGTCCAAACAAGTTTAACCAAAAAATATTTATTTCTCACAATTATGAAAGGTGGAGGGTTAGGGTCAGGGTTAGGGTTAGGGTTAGGGTCAGGTTACTGGTTAGAGTTAGGGTTAGGATTGGGTTTAGGGTTAGGGTTAGGTTTAGGGTTAGGTTTATGGTTAGGGTTAGGGTTAGGGTTAGGTTTAGAGTTAGGGTCATTAATGTGGGCTACGATAACATCGGTAATAATCAGTAAGTTTGAAACCAAAGAAACTAACCTGTCAAAATTCAGTTAAATTTTGGGGTCTTTGTTTTTATCCTTTAGGTATCTAAAATGGTATCGAGTATCGAGTATTTTCCTGAGTATCGGTATCGAGTTGAAAATTTTAGTATCGTGACGACCCTAGATGTGACTGACATTTATTCTTACGCATAACATGGGCCATGGATTTGGTTTTTCATCCCCAGGCTCTCAATTTAATTTAGCGTCATTTTCCATGTCGGCTTATATCAGAGAGCTGGGAATCCCTTTTCCAGATTTCATTCCTGAACAGCCTCCATGTGGAGCTTAGAGAGAGCCAACCAACAATAAAGAAACACAAAATCAATACGTTCTGAAGTATTCAGAAGAGATGGAGGCAAAGGGAAGCATCAATAGCTCCATTTAGCTCACGCTGTCTATTTCTGATGACTTATTCTCATGTAATTTAACACAAAAAAACTGCTTGTTTGAAGATTTTAGATAAAATCACAATATATTCTTGTTTAAATAAAGATAAGAATTGAACTTATTGGTTCATTCGTTGACGTGCATGGCTTTGTTTATCTTTTTTCTGGCTCCTAAAACTGTTTCTGTGACATTTGAAACAGTGTTCAGTACTCTGCGGTTTGTGTTTCCAGCTTTTTTTTAATGACGTGAGGCACACAGTTGCTGGTTTTTAATCAGGGATAAAGCCCTCATCTCTCAATACTCCTGACCTTTAACATTTAAGACAAACACTCTGGATTCTCTTCTCATTCCTCAGCTTTTTTCCCCCTTCAGAGATACAACAAAACACCAGCAATGAAGGTCTCAGTCTGTGGGGGAAATCAATATATGTATCATCATTTTCCTTTCTATTCTTCTTTTCTAGACTATTTCTTTTCTATTTTATTCTCTCTGGTAAATCCACAATTGAGTATTTTAATGGTCCTTGCCTCCTTTGAGGTTTAAGAGAAGTCCTCCTCATATTTTGTCTAATTCTTGAGGATTGGAGGGCAGACTTTACGTCTCATTTTAGACTCAGAAAATAGTATAAAATGTACTATGATTTTGTTTTACTTTGGAACAGCGTGATATGAAGTTTTCCCTTTGATACGTTTTCTATCTCTCATTCTCTTAACCCTTTAAATCCTGATCCAAGAATAAAACAAAACAGAAAATTACTTTTTATTTTTGGTTTGAATTCCTTATTTGGCCTTTGAACAAAATATGTAAAAATAAAAAACAGAAATACATTTTTAATATTAATAATTTATTACTATGCGATAAGTCTTTGTGTGGTATTCTGCCCCCTGTTATCAGGTGTATCTGATTGTGTACAATAGGATTTTGAGCAAAGTTTTTACCATTAAATTATGCAAAAGGTGTCAGACGCAAAACATTTCAGAAACCGTATGAATCAAATACGACACATTTGGCATTACAGGGTTAAATGGACTCAGACTTTTGCTTCAGAATTGTCACGTCTGGGGGAAATGTTGGTGTTTTTGTCTCGTCTCCATGTTGTCGTGTCATTTCCTGTTTTATTTTGAAAGATGCATCCCCTTGTTTCAGGTCACTTGCACTTCCTTGTGTACACCTGGGTTCCTTTCCCTCTTGTGTTTAAATAGTCCTCGTTTCCCCTTGTCCCGTGCCAGTGCATTGTGTTCCATGACCACAAACCCTAACCCTAACCCTAACCCTAACCCACAGTTATCCCTTGTCATAGTTAAACCTTGCCTTTGATCACGTTCCCCTCCTTTGTGCCTCCTGAATTTTTGCCTCCTTTGAGTGCCTATGTGTTTTCCTCCTAGACGTCCATTCCTAGTGAGTATTTCTTTGTTACTTTGTACCTTGCCCATAGTCTTGTTTATTGTTTTGATACTTTGTTCACAGCTTTTTCTTCCTCATAAGAGTGATTATATTTTGATACTTTGTTCATAGCCTCGCTATCTTGTTTTGGTACTTTGTCTCCACTCTGAGAGTGTGTTTTTTGTTCAATAAACCTTTTTGGAACTAACCACCTCTCTGCGCCTGAGTCCTCCCTAAGCTCCACCCTCCTGACAAGAGTCTCATTTTCTCTCCGGTACCTTTTCTCTACATTATACAGTTTCTCTCCGGTA